GTGCTGCACTGTCAAAGGTGCCTTGTGATGGATGAGCTGATACAATAAGGTACCAACCTCAGCTCAGTTGGGTGTGAAAGATGTCGGTGCACTATTCTGAAGAGTTACCCCCGGAGTCTGAGTCAATACTAATCCCTCAATCAATATCACAAAAACCAGATGCTCACAGCACAACGCTGTGCCTCCTATGTTATAACAGCGCCAAGACTTCAGAAATACTTCACTGTCTGTAAAGCTCTTCCAGATGTCCAGTGGTTTCGAAATGCTTCTGTTTCCCGTACAGCCTGGAACTTACGTCACTCTGGGGACTTACCGAAGAAGACCCACAGTTCATTGTTTTACTGTCAGTGTGGACTAGGCCTGTTAGCCAGTGTTACAGCTCCAAGACCGCACTCCACTACACTGAACCTTACCTTTATATTCTCCTTTTGCACCTGGATGTCATGCAGCCTTCTCCGCCAATCATGTACCAGGCTTGAACTTCCTGGAACAGAGCTGAACAAACAAAACAAATAAATCAAATGTTTTTTCTGGTTGTTGCTCATCGGGGCAAACAGGACAGTGCAACATAAAATACATCTTGTATAATGTAGTAATGGAGACACAAAGTCAGGTTATGCTGAAGAAATAGGCATTTCAGGAAATACTTCTTTCCTGAAGTGCTACAAAGCTAATCAGACTGTTCTGCATATAACACAGTGTGAGGCTGGAGGAGCACAGCAGGCCAGGCAGCATCAGAGGAGCAGGAAAATTGACATTTTGGGTCGAGACCCTTCTTTAGAAAAAAGGTCCCAACCTGAAATGTCAATTTTCCTGCCCCTCTGATGCTGCCTGGCCTGCTATGTTTCTCCAGCTCCACACTGTGTTATCTCTGACTCCAGCATCGGCAGTTCTTACTATCTCAGACTGTTCTGCAGTCCAGTTACTGTCAAAAGAGTATTTTCAAAACCTTGAATGTGAAATAAAAAGAATTCAAGGGCACAGACGAAAGCAAACTACTTGCTCGTCTGTGCAACAAGTTCTTTCGAATTTGCTGGAACATAGGCCTAATGAATTCCTCGAATTTTGTTTTGTGTCAGTCATTTCATAAGAAAGCAGCAAGTCTAGCTGAGCAAGATTAAAGGTTGATTTGCAATAGTTAGACACTGACCTCAAGCTACAAATCTGTAGTTCTGCTTCATTCGCTGCTTTGTCCAGCATCATAACTGCAAACTCCCTCTTGTTCTCCAGGGATTGAACCTGCAACAGCAGAAGCGTTCATGATGATTCGCTGAAGATAAAGGCGAGGTTATTTTTATTTATTCTCCATTGTCAGGACGTGGGCGTTACTGGAATGGACGGTGTTTATTGTTCATCCCTAGTTGAAGGCAGTAATTGACCTTTTTCCTGAACTTCTGTGGTCCATGTGATAAAGGTAGTTCCAGTTGAAATTTGATGGGGGACTTGACCCAGTGATGACAAAAGAACACAGAGAGCAAACTTTACAAAGGCTTACAAAGAAGAATACACAACAGCAGAGTTATTGAAGTGAATGTGGATCACCCACTGATGTGGAGAAGTCATACGTAATCATTATTCTACTTTAATAAGCAAATCTTAAAGCAGATTTAGACAGTGCTCCTACAGAGATGAAGAGGAATTGCTTCTCTCAAAGACGTTTGAATCTGTGGCATTTACTACCCCCCGGTGCATTAGCTGCCGGGCCAATGAATAAATTTGGAGGAGATAGACAGATTTTTAGTTAGTAATACGTTAAAGGGTTATGGGGAGCAGACAGGGAAGTGGAGTTGAGGCTGAGGTGAAATCAGCCATGATCATATTAAATGGTGGAGCAAGCTCAAGGGGCTGAACTGCCTCTTCCTGCTTATGTTCTAAGGCAAACTCTTCTGCCTGGACCACATGAACCTGAAACTTTTGTTTCATCCTTGGGATGTGGGTGTCACTGGCTGGACCAGCATTTATTGTCCATCCTTAATTGCCCAGAACGTAGTCAAGAGTCAACTACATTGCTCTGGAGTCACATGTAGGCCAGACCAGAATGGTGGCAGTTTCCTTCCCTAAATGGCATTAGTGAACCAGATGGGTTTTTTCCAAAAAAAGGTTTCATTGTTAAATTCTTAATTCCAGACCTTTTTTTAAAAATTGAATTCAAATTCCACTGTCTGCCACAGCAGGATTCAAACCTGGGTCCCAAACCCTGGGACTCCGGATAGTTTAGTGATAACACTACCAGGCCATCACCTCCCTTTAAGGGGATGTCAATTCCTTGTTAACTAAAGAGGATTAACAAATCACACATAGGTTTATTGCTGGTAAATGGAACCTTTACGGGATTGATAAAACATAGATATGAAAAGTTCAATTGCCTAGTTCAGGCCATAAGGGAACATTGTCATTCATAACAGGGCTCTGAAGACCCGAGAAAAACAGAAATTGCTGCAAAAGCACAGCAGATCTGGCAGCCTCTGTGGAGGGCAATCAGAGGTAATGTTTCAAATCCAGTGACCCTTCCTCGGGATGGTTTTCTGTGGGAGGCTCACTCAACCCAAAACGTTATCCCCAGCCCTAAAACCCTTGCCCCAATTTCACGACATAGTCTGAGGCAAAGTGCACTGACCTCGGCTTTCAAGGCTCGCTCGGTCTCTTCTAGGACTTTCTTGTTGAGGTCCTGATTTTTGAGCCTCAGTTTCGCCAAATCCTCATTTAACTTCTCCCTGCAATGGCCAGTCAAGTCACAAGTTGTAATTCAAAAGTGTGCTGAAGTCAACCTCCAAGAATTGATGCAACGCAGCGTGTCTTCACCTGTTGTCTGAGCAATTCGACCTCATGTCAAACTCCTGTCTCAACCTTGTAACCCTCCACATTGCTTCTGTTTAAATAGTCGTCTAATGACCTCTGGAATGTCTCAGTTGAAAACATTTCCATTATATTTCCAGGCAACACATTCTAAACTTAGACTACTTGTTATGTGAAAATGTTCCTTTCTCACCTCACATTTGCTTCTTTTGCGAGACAATTGTGCCCTCTGCTTCTTGATCCTTTTACAATATTTACCCTTTCTACTCTGTCCAATCCCCTCGTGATCTGAAAACGTTCATCAGACCTCCCCTCAGCCATCTCCCCTGCAAGGAAAACAGGCCCAACTTCTCCAATCTATCCTTGTACCTGATGATTCTCATCCCTGGAACCATTTAGTAAACCACAGTCTCCAACTTGTCCACATCTTCTGTAAAATGTGATATCCAGAACTGTACACAGTGCTCCAGCTGAGGTCTAACCAGTGTCCTGTTTGGGTCCAGCATAACTTCCCTCCTCCTATAATCTATATCCCTATTAATGATGCCTGGAATACTGTATGCTTTATTAACAGCTCTGTCTACATACCCTGCCATCTTCAAGAAATTATGCAAATACCAATGCAAAATTATTAAAACTGCATCTTCCAGGTGCTCAGACATGTTTTTACCTAAAGGCAAAGCAAAAGAATCAGGATTTTGGTGGAAAAGAATGAACAATTGATCCCTAACTGAAAGTACCAACATAAGAAAGATGGGCTGAACAACCTCCTTCTGCACTGCATGCTCTCATGTAAAGAGTGATGAAATTCAGGGTCGATCCCTATTCTTATGTACAGATGGGTGAAATTCAGGATCGATCCCTATTGTGCTGAACAGAGAGCAGCATTGTCAGAGGCTTGGCCTACTGTTCACTTATGATCCCAGACTACAGAACCAGAGGAAATGCAAATGGTTACTTATTTGGTTAATGTCTAACATTGTACTAACAGTAGCCCTTAATACTGCAGATTAAATTTGCATTGGGCAAATAGTTTAATTGAAAAAGATAAAAAATAATTATGACAGAAGTCTAAAATTCTAACAAAACATACTGGAAATCCACCATAAATGTTATCAATATGTACAAGAAAATATGATTTTCCAGTGTATTCTTTTGATTTGACCCTTAAATGTTAAGCCACTGTCATGACAAGTACTGCATAATTCCCAGTATTCTGAGGTTTGAAAATTAGGCAGTCATGTCATAACAGGATAGAGTTTCTGTTTTGAACACAATCAGAGCTCTGATAGTTCTGTGACATGTTTTATCCCTTGAGTTCTGCACTCAAATCTCTTACAGTATTGGATATAAAATCTGCTATGAGCCGGTGTGATGCAAACAAAGTATTTTAGAACATCTTTTCAGAGATAGTAGGAACTGCAGATGCTGGAGAATCTGAGATAACAAGGTGTAGAGCTGGATGAACACAGCAGGCCGAGCAGCATCAGAGGAGCAGGAAGGCTGACATTTCAGGCCTAGACCCTTCTTCAGAAGAAGACCCTCCTAGATTCCATGCAATCTAAACTTGCTAACCAGTCTACATGGGGAACCTTGTTGAACGCCTTGCTGAAGTCCATATAGACAACATCCACTGCCCTGCCTTCATCAAACTTCTTTGTCACTTCTTCAAAAAACTTGTCTACGTCAAGAAAAGCATTCAGAACAAAGACTTACCTTTTGTCTGATTGATCACTGATCAGGATGGCAATCAGGTTGCCCTTTTCTTCCTGCTCCTTCATCAGCCTACAAACAATGAGAGAGAGAGAGAGAGACGAGAGAAAGATTACATTGAATGGATAGGGGTCAGACTGAAAAATAAGGACAAAAGTTAATCTGGAATAAAACTAGAAATACTCAGCAGGTCAGACAACATCCGTGCAGGGAGGAACAGAGTGAAGTCAATTGTCATCTTTCTAAGCTGTGAAAAGTTATTTCAGCTAATAACTGGCTTTAGATTGCAAAACTCACTGCATGCATATTATTTCTCATCAGTTACTGTGTTGCCCTGTTGTCACAGAAACAAATTCTCATGAAATCGACCCTCTATTAAAACATCCATCATCAAGTCATAAGGATTTACAGTATAGAATATGGGTCTTCAGCATATCCTGTCTGCATCAGTTAAACAAAAAATACTTAACTATTCTAATCTCATTTCTCAGCTCTGGCCCGTAGCCTTGTATGCCTTGGTATCACAAGTGCACAGCTAAATACTTCTTAAATGCTATGAGGGTTTCCGCCTCTCCCATTGTTACAGGCAGTGAGTTCCAGGTTGCCACCACCCTCTGGGTGAAAAAGCTTTTCCTCACATTCCCTCTAAAACTCCTGCCTCTTAAAGCATTTCAAGAGTTAGATATTGTTGCAGTTCAGACTTAGGCCATCATGTCATAAAGTCATAGTTATTCAGCACAGAAACAGATCGTTCAGTCCAACTCATCTGTGCTGACCAGATATCCTAAACTGATCTAGTCCCATTAGCCAGCATTTGGCCTATAATCCTTCTAAACCCTTCCTATTAATGTCCTCATCCTGACGCCTTTTAAATGTTGTAATTGTTCCAGTCTCCACCACTTCTTCTGGCAGCTCATTCCATACATACACCACCCTTTATGTGAAAATGTTGCTGCTCTTCACCAACTCTCCAAACAAGCAATTTACTAAGTGTCAGTCTCCTGCTTTCTCCCAATCACCCTGGCCATTCGTCTGAATCAGGTAAAATCCAATTTCACTTTGATTGATTTAATAAGGGGAAAGACGTTGTGCAGTAGTGGGCTTGTAATCCAGAAACCAAAGTACAAAGCTCTAGCAACATGGATTGAAACCCCGCCAGGGAAAATGGTGGAATTTTAAATTTAAATAAATCCAGAATGGTGGCCATGAAACCAACATCAATTGTCATAAAAACCCATCTGGTTCACTAATGTCTTTTTAGGGTAGGGAATCTTTCACCCTTACCCAGTTTGACTTACACGTGACTCCAGACACAGCAAATCTTAACTGGTTGACTCGTCATGAATGTTATTACTATCTACTAGAAAACATGATTTTCCAATATATTCTTTTCATTTGACCCTTAAATGTTAAGCCACTGTCACGACACATACTGCATAATTCCCAGTATTTTTGGGGTTTGAAAATTAGGCAGTCGTCATTACCAGATAGAGTTTCTGCTTTAAGCACAATCAGAGATCTGATAGTTCTGTGACATACTTTATTCCTCGAGTTCTGCACACTAATCTCTTACAATATTGGATATAAAATCTCCTATGAGCCAGTATAACGCAAACAAAGTATTTTAGAACATTCCTCTTAAGAAGCAATGTTGCTGAAATATATCAAGGAATAAGTTTTAATGAGTATTAAAACGACACCAATTGATTGAAGTAAATTACTGCCTTCTGAAATGATGTGTCCAGTACCTCAGTTCAAGGACAATTGCAAGAAATGCCCTCAAAGAATTAGTAGAACAAGGAACCTGCCTCCCACAATCTCAGACAGTGCATTAACCACTGCATGAGAAAAACTTTCCTAATTAGCTGATGATATTTTTGCCCGTTATTTCATATCTGTGCCATCCAGTTCTCAAGCTTTTTACAGTTGAGAAACCTTTCTTTGTGATTTTGAAAATCTTGACCTCCACATTTTGTTTTGGAAAATAAACCCAGCTCCCCTCATCTATCCATTTAAAGTTTCTCACTGCCAGAAATGTTCCCGTTAACTTTTTGTACACCTTCTCTAATGTCTTCACAACCTTGCTAAAGTGTGGCTCTCAAAATAGCACATGATACTCGAGATGGAAACAGTGTTTTATAAAGGATCACCCATAACCTCCTTGCTTTTCCACTCAATGCTTCTGCAGTTGATGTTTACAACTCGAAAGGGGATGTAGGAGGAACAGGACCCGTGCACAGACCATTGAAAGTGGCAGGACAGGTGGAGAGAGAAGTTAATGAAGCAGCCAGTGTCCTCAACTTTACTAATAGAGGCATAGGGCTCAAGAGCAAAGAGATGATGTTGAATTCATATGACACTTGTTAGACCTCAGCTGGAGTACTGTCTACAATTGTGGGCAGCACGTTTTGGAAAAATGTGACTGCATTGGAAAGAGTACAGAAGCGATTTACAAGAATGGTTCTAGGGATGAGAAACTTCAGTGACGAGAATAGATTGAAAAAGTTGGCACTGTTTTCCCTGGACAGTAGAAGAGACTGAGAGGAGATTTGATTCAGGTTTCCAAACCAGGAGCAGGCTGGACCGACTACAATGGGAGAAGCTGTTCACACTCATAAAAGGAACGCGAACAAGAGGGCGTGGATTTAAAAGAAATCAAAAGGAGCAAGGGTGATGCAAGAAAAAGCTTTTTCATACAGTGTGTAGTTAGGGTGTGGTGGACATGTGGTGCAGGCAGGTTCAACTGAAGCATTATTTGGATGGAAATAGCATGCAGGAGTATAGGGAAAAGGCAGGGGATTGGCACCAGGTAACGATGCTCGTGTAGGCATGATGGGCTGAATGGCCTTCTCTGCTGTAACTATTCTGTGATTCTATGAAACCCAGGATCCCATACACCATGTTACTCACTTTCTTAAGCAACAGCCCCTTGACTAAGCATATGATTAAGTTTATAAGAGACTTGCAATCCCAAACAACAGTCTTACAACTAACAGGAAAGAAGCCCAAAATAAATAGAGTCTGACTGGCCTGCACTCGATGCAAGGACTGCCAGCAGGAATTTCAAACACTTAGAGCCACAGAGTAAAACAGTAGGGATACAGACCCTATAGGCCAATGCTTCCATGCCGAGCAGGTTTCCTGACTGAACTAGTTCCACTTGTTTGGTCTATATCCCTCTAAATCTTTCCCAACCATGTACCTGTCCAAATTTCTTTTAACTGTTGTAGTCGTACCCACCTCTACCACTTTCTCAGGCAGCTCATTCCATATACACACCATCCTCTGTGTGAAAAAGTTGCCCCTCAGGTCCTTTTTAAACCTTTCCCCTCTTACCTTAAACCTATTCCCTCTAGCTTTGGATTCCCCTACCCTGAGGAAAAGACTTTGGCTATTCACCCTATTCATCTCCCTCGTGATTTTACATACCTCCAAATGTGCCCCCTCAACCTCCGACCCTCCTGGGAAAATAACCACAGTCTATACAGCCTCTCCTTATAACTAAAATCTTCCAGTCTTGGTAATATCCTTGTAAATCTGTTTTTCACTCTTTCCAGTGTAACAACAGCCTTCCTATAGCAGTGTGACCAGAATTGTACAGAGTACTTCATATGTGGCCTTACAAATGTCTTGCACAGCTAAAAAATGACACCCCAACTCTTGTACTCAGTGCAAGCATGCCAAACACCTTCTTCACCACCCTATCTACCTGTGGCATCACTTTCAAGGAATTGTGTGTGTGCACCCCTAGGTCTCCATGTTCAACAACACTTCCCAGAGCCATACGATTAAGTGCATCGGTCCTGCCCTGGTTTGCCTTACCAAAATACAACACCTCGCATTTAGCTAAATTAAACTCTACCTGCAATTTCTCGGCCCATTGGCCCAGTTGATCATTGTACTCTCCAATAACCTTCTTCACTGTCCATTATACCACAATTTTAGTGTCATCTGCAAACTTATTAACACATATTCTCATCCAAACTGTTTATATAAATGATGAACAACAGTAGAGCCAGCAATGATCTTTGCAGCACAAAGCTGGTCACAGGTCTCCAGTCTGATTAACAACTCTCTACCATCACTCTCTGTCTCCTAACTTCAAGCTAATTTTGTATCCAATTGGCTAGCTCTCCCTGGGTCCCATATGATCTAATCTTTCTAACCAGTCTACCGTGAGGAACCTTGCTAACGGCCTGGCTGAAGTCCATGTAGACAGCGTCTACCGCTCTGCTTTCATTGATCTCCTTGGTCATCTCTTCAAAAAAACCTCAAATTCGTGAGACTTGCTTATACTTCTGTATATACAGGCAGCCAAAAGAAACGTTAACATGGAAGAAACATCCTATTTCCCCTGTTTGCATCTTTTATAATGCACTACCTTAGCTGGACCGCCACGTTCTATCTAAAGGATGATGCGGAGGTGCTGGGGTGGACAAGGTCAGAAGTCACACAAGACCAGGTTATAGTCCAACAGGTTTATTTGAAATCACAAGCTTTCAGAGCGCTGCTCCTTTTTGTCAGGTGAAAAAACCTGATGAAGGACCAGTGCTCTAAAAGCTTGTGATTTCAAATAAACCTGTTGGACTATAACCTGGCGTCATGTGACTTCTGACTTAATCTAAAGAATGTTAAAGGGCGACTCAATACCAAATCTGAACGCCCTCTTTTCTTCACTCAGCCCCACCCTGTTGCCTCATTAAACCTCCCAACACCCACACTCCCACCGACCCTGCCTCGCACATCCATTAGAAAAAGACAGTCAGTCAATCATTTGCCCTGTGATGAGGGGGTTCATCATCATGTTACAAAAACCCCTTTCACCAACAAGGGGAAGGAAGAATGCAGGATTCTGAGAGGGAAACAAAAAACAAAGGGCACATGTAGAAACATATGAAGAGGATTCTGTTTCAGGCTAACAATGTTAGGAAATTCTTCTCCAAATCCAGAAGAAGATAAGGGATAGGAGCAGAATTAGGCCTTACAGCCCTTTGAACCCAATCCATAAATCAATGATCTGATGTTCTACTTCAAAGCACATTTTCCTGCACTGCCCCCATATCTCTTGGTGAGTTTAATGTGTAGAACTGAGGCTCTGGGTGGAGAATTCAAACAATTCTCGCCCTTGCCCTGGAGTGAAGAAGCTCTCCTCATTCTCAGTCTTAAAGCTGCCCCTTATTCTTGGACAGCGTTTCCTGGTTCTTGACTTCCTAGCCAGGGAAACGTCCTTCCTGATTCTCCCTTGTCGAGTCCCAGAAGAATTTTGTATGGTCCAATGACAGCAGCTCTATATCACAGAGAATAATGCTCAGTCTAGTTCATTTTTCCTATTGTACAATCCCTCTATCCCAGGGATTAGTTTAGTGAAGTTCTGGTGTTCTCCCCCTGATGTAAGGAGAGCAGAACTGCACACTCCAGGGTGTCGTCTCACCAAGGCCCTGTAGCATTGCAGCAAAAATGTCTGCAAAAAGAGATATCAATATGTGGAAAAGAAATCCAAATGCAGGAGTGAGGGAGAAAGCCCTGAAATCATTGACGAAGCGGCTGGATATTCCTATTAGGAGAAGAAACATTCATAGTTTTCTGGAAGAAAGAAATGAGTCAGGCCAAATTATCTTTGTCATCATACTCCCATGGTGATCCTTCTACTACACTTTAGTACCATTTAATGCATATTTACACTGGAGCAAGGTTTAAAAGCTTTAGACACAGTCTGACAGGCAGCTAGAAGCATTTCCGAACCACTACCGTAATTATGAAGCCTCAGAGATACAGGAATGCCTCTGTAATTCTTACAAACATGGACAAAGGCGCTTGGCCACAAAGCACTCGGCATTTCAAACAGAAACCAGCTACCAAAATGGACCAGAGCTCATTTTTGATGGAATCATACACTGCCGAAATTACACGTCCTAATGTTTTTCCTAATTGAAGCCTGTAACTCGGGGTTTCTCAGACTGGATCCTTGGGGTAAGTACTCACCTTTGGGATCCGTTATATCCTCATTTGGAAAAAGATTCTGGGTTCGCTGAGGCTCCGGAAACCCACTGTCAGTGGTTCGGTCAAAGATTGGGCAGGCCATAAAGGTCAGACCTTACCATCGTATTAAACCTCGCAACATTCTTTGCTGGAACAGCCTGGTGTGTACGCCCCTTCCCACCTCAGAGAAAGCCCAAAATGAGAAGAAATAGAGGTATCGTTTCGGTCAAGGTGGGTCTCTCACTGCCCTCACCTAAACCCACATTGGCCTGGAGACAATGGGAGACAATAAGGACTGCAGGTGCTGGAAGCCAGAGTCTATAGGTGTGAGGCTGGAAAAGCCCAGCAGGTCGGACAGCATCAGAGCAGCAGGAAAGTCAACGTTTCGGGCCAAAACCTTTCTTGCTTTCTGACTTTCTGCTCCTCTGATGCTGCCTGACCTGCTGTACTTTTCCAGACTCGCACCTATAGACCACATCTGCCTGTATTTTGTTTGTTGGATGTTGAGATCACCCCCACGCCCGTCCCCCAACCTCAGGTATCGCGATATTAACTTTCCAGGGTTCAAAGCTAGTGTGTAAATTTCAGTGTCATGTCTATTTTGGTGCCTGCCTCGTAGGGATGAAGAAAAGTCAGTGAATCCACTGTGAGGCAGGCTGGAGATTCCAATGGAGACCGAGAAGGAGACGGTAATCTCTTAGTCTCTGTTGTTTGAACAATCCAATTCAGAAAGGGCAACAACAGAAGGAACTGAGCGTGGCTGCAGTGAAGGCTGCAAAGACCTGAAAACAGCGACGTCATATCACAGTAAAGTTGCCACAGTGCCAGAGAACCATAGGCTGCTCTCTCATTCGTAGGAGCGAGAGAAAGAGAGAGACGTGACTGGTGGAAGTTTAACCTCAGGGTCATTATGCCTCAGGTAACAGGCAAGGCTGATAAAGCAGGACCTTCATGTTGACCCCAGCTAGTTCTAGAATTGAACCTACCCTGTCACATGAGTCATTTTGTATTGCAAACCAGGTGTCCAGTCAACTGAGCTAACCTGCCCCCTACATAACAGAATATTACAGTGAGGAGAATATCAGAGGTCTAGCTCAATAAATCCATTACCATGGCCTGAAACACCTCACTTTAACTTTTTTAGGACTCAAAATAAAATTTAAACCCTGAGATTCCTCCCTTTTTTGACCCAATACGATACAATGAAATAACTGTTCTAGAATACCATGGTCTCCCATACAATCATACTTATCTGTATTATGAAAAAATTTACTTCAGCCATTTCCATCTCCTCATCCCATGGACCCAATATCAGTTGGCACTTCATTGCTTCTCTCTCTCTCTTTCACACACAGTCAACCTCATTTCCCTCATCTGTTCTGGGTTCAAACAGCCCCTTCAAGTCAATAAGTTTGGCAGATGAAGTAAAATGTGGGAAAATGTGAACTTGCCCACTTTGGCAGGAAGAACAGAAAAGAGCATATTATTTAAAGCAGAGAGATTGCAGAATTCCGTGATAAACAGAAGTTTGCAGGGACAGCAAATGAGATAAACAATAAGAGATGTCACTTTTAAGATGGAGATGAGGAGGTTTTTTTTTCCCTCAGGAAGTGCTAAGACTGTCCAATTCTCTTCCCTAGATAAGGGAGGAGGCTTGGTCATTGAATTTATTCCAGGCAGAGTGAGGCAGATTTTTGAGACAAGGGATTCAAAGTCATGGGTATTGCGAAACAGAAACATGGAGCTCAATAAACCCAATCAGCCATGATCCCACTCAATGGTACAGAATATAGTCTCCAGATTATTTGTCATACAACAACACCAAAGTTCGCCCACTTTGGGGTCTCTTATGCAAAACAACATCTCCCAAAATAAAGCAGCAAAAATACTTTGTTGTACCGTTTCCCATTTTCATAAAGCCTTGTTACTTCATTCTTCAACTCTTCCTCTTTTTGAACAAACTCTTTCTTCTCCTTTTCAGATTTCTTCTTCAGTTCTTCCAGTTTTACTTTCATCTCCTGAACCTGCTTAACATTATCCTGCATTGTTTTGTAAAACAAAAATCATACACGTCAATCTTTCAAACTTGGCTGTCGTGCAAAAATTAAAATTTTTTCTCAAAAGAAGTTTCATTTTTAGCAATTCTTTTTGCATCGTAGAATATTTTAGTTTGAAATGCAAATGCTGAAGGCATTATCCGTAATAAACTTGAAAAAAGTGTGATCGAGCTTGACAAGAGGAACAGAATTATCATTACAGACAGCACTAACAGCCGTGGGCATTTCACATCTAACAGTGACTTTGATTCAGCTTCAACATGGAATCAATCTCAGACACTTTTCTAATAATTCATTTCTACTTTGGATAGAATCTCAAAATGCTTCTGCAGTCCTAGGGGTCTGGAAACATCCCATTTGTACCTATTTTATTTTGACCCCGAGAATGTGCAATCTGGCCTCAACAACATCAATCAGTACCTCAACAAGATCATCATCATTTATTAGCTGAGAAAGAAATAAGCTCAATAGATAGCTGAATAGAGAAAAGCTAAGTGCTAACTATTTTTAACTTTTGTAAGAGATATTTGCTTAATGTTGTATGAACACTGCAGTTATCGGGTTAGCTGGACAGGTGGTTTGTGATGCCAACAGCAAGTCTTTAATTTCATGTAACCAGAAAAAGTCACCATGACGGCCTCAACTTTTCATTGTCTTAGGGCGACACAGTGTCTCAGTGGTTAGCACTACAGCCTCACAGCACTAAGGACCTGAGTTTGATTCCACTCTCAGGTGACTGTCTGTGTGGAGTTTGCACATTCTCTCTGTGTTTGTGTGGGTTTCCTCTGGGTGCTCTGGTTTCCTCCCACAGTCCAAAGATGTTCAGTTTAGGTGGATTGGCCACGCTAAATTGTCCCATGGCGTCCAGGGATGTGTAGGTTAGATGGATTAATCATGGGAAACGCAGGGTTATAGGAATAGGGTAGGGTGTGGATCTGGGCAGGATACTCTTTGGAGGGGTGGTGTGGACACGATGGGCCAAATGGTCTTCTTCCACACTGTAGGGATTCTATGATTCATCTGAAGCAAGGTGACCTTTAGGAAAAATACAATGCCAGTCATCTCTGTAATGACAGAGCGGTCCTTTGGGACTACACCTAGGGGGTCAAGGGCAGCAGATAGATGGGAACACCATCGTCTACAAATCCCCATCCGAGCCATTCACCATCCTGACTTGCAAATATACTGGGGCTCCTTCACTGGGTCAAAATCCTAGAATTCCCTCCCTAAGGGGATTGGGGGCCTATGTACACCCCAAGGTTTGCAGACGTTCAAAAAAGGCAGCTCACCTTCCCTTCTCAAGGGACAACTAGGGATGGGCAATACATGCTGATCTAGCTAGTGATAACCCCATCCTGTGAACAATCTTTTAAAAATGTAAAATGTTTCTGTGCTAACACCGTCTCAGCCATGATAAAAAAGGCAGAAAACTATTGCTTTAATGCCAATTACTATCTTCTGGCTCTAAATGCAATTCAAATGTTATCAGGTGAGGATCTGAACATTACATAAACATGAACAGGATTTGCTGGAGAAACTCAACAGGTCTTTGCAGCATGTGTGGAGAGAAAGCAGAGTTAATGTCTCAGGTCCAGTGACCGTTCTTCAGAACTGACTATCTCTAGGAAAAGGTTGGTATATGTGCTAAGGATGGGGTAAACATTAGGTGGATATGGAGCCAAGAGAGAGAGAACAACAGTTGGACAGACAAAGGAATATGTAAGGTCGGTCTGGGAGAATCAATAGCTGCTAATGGGACCATTCAGGGCTAACACTGGATTGTTTGTGGTTGCAGCCTCGTGATGACGAGGCCTGGTGTGTTGGGGTTGGGGTAAGGACACGGGAGAATGTGTTCAGACTCTAAAATGTTTGAACTTGATATTGTGACCCAAAGGCTGCAGGGTCCCCAACAGAAAAATGAAGTGCTGTTCTTCCAGCTTGCGCTGAGCTTCACTGGAGCACTACAGCAGGCCTGAGACAGAGATGTTGGCCAGGGAACAGGGTGAACACTGCATGACTGATATCACAAATACTTGTTGTTTACTTGTATAGACAGGAAGGAGTTTTTAATCCATGCTAAGCTTCACTTTCACAAAAATCTATGCAACATTTTAAAGATTCATTCCCTGGATAAGATTGTTACTAGCAAGGGCAGCAGTTACAGTGTTTCCTCATTCACCCACAAGTAAGTGGTAGTGGCTTCTTGAATGCCACTAGCCTATAGAGTGGAGGCATTCACACAGCGCTGCTGTTGCAAGATTTTGACCAAACGATAGTGAAGGAATGGCCAAGTCAGGATGGTGAGTCACTGGGATGGCAATTTGTTCCTGTCCACCTATTGCCATGGTCCTTCTAGGTGGCAGGAGGTTGGGCTGTCGAAGATGTCTTTGCACCTGGTATGATTCCAGCCACTGACAGCTTTCCTGTAAGACACAGGAACAGAAGCAGGCCATTCAGCCCACTGAGTTTGCTCCATCATTCATTGAGGTCATGGCATATTCTGATCATCTCCAACACCACTTGTCTGCCTTTTCCCCATAACCCTTGATTCCCTTACTGATTAAAAATCGATCTCAGCCTTGAATACACTGGATGTCCCAGCCTCAACAGTCCTCTGTGGTAAAGAATTCCACAGATTCACAACCCTCACAGAAGAAATTCCTCCTCATCTCAGTCTTAAATATGTGACCCCTCATTCTGAGATTATACCCTCTGATCCTAGACACTTCGCATTTACCTTCAAGTCATTTAAGAATTTTATATGTTTCAATAAAGTCACTTCTCATTCCTTTATATTCCAACAAGTACAGGCCTAAATCTACTCAACCTTTCCTCATAAGACAGCCCCTCCATTCTGGGATCAGCCAAGTGAACCTTTTCTGGACTGTCTCCAATGCCAGTAAATCTTTCATTTGAAAAGGGACCCATTTCCTTTGAAATAACGGCCAGCATTCCATTTGCCTCCCTCTTATTTGCTGAAGCTGGAATGACTTTAGTCGATTGCAAAAATCTCAATTATATAGTAATCTGAACAAAACATCTTTAACATACTTCATGCAATGGCATAGTTTAAAGTGTTCAATAATTCCAGTAAGTAAGCAAACATGGAAATCAAGTCAGTGCCTATGTTACATTCTCGAAAACTAACATGGAATTTGCCTACAGCCTTCTAAACCTGGAGAGTAACTCACCTCAACAAAATTCAATAGAAGATAAATTATTTTTCTTTATTGTCCTGGGACCAATATTTATTCCTTAACCAATATCTCTAAAAGTCAAACAGATCATTATCATGTTGTAATTTGTGGGAGCTTGTGGTGCGCAAATTGGTGGCTACATTTCCTACCCTGCAGTGACTGTGTCAATAAAGTGCTTAATTGGCTGCAAAATGTTCTGGGATGTCCTGAAATCATGGAAGGCTTACTTAATTGAAGCCATTTTTTCCACATCACATTTTACCTGGTAAATATTCTCCTCTTCTTCCTGTCGTTGTTGAAGCTGTCGAACTTTGACCTGGAGCTGATTCTCCATCTGTATCTGTCGATCCAACACTTCCTGGTATCTCTCCTTCAAAATCTCCCGTTCAGCTGTCACTTCATTCTGAAACAGTCCGACAATGTCAGATTAAGACTGTACACAGAGTGAATCCTTCCTGCTACATTTGTACCACTATTCACTACTAGAAACTACAGATTGGTACAAATAGGTCGCCCAAAGACAAAATTGAGGATAACTTTGTACTTTTGTGCTGAACTTTTAATTCCTTTATTTTTCTATTTTAAATTAAGAAGGACTTTAATGTTAATTATTACCTCATTTCTTTATTTTTCTAATTATTCTATGAAAGTAATGCTGAACTTTTTAACTCTGTTTCTCTTACTACTATGTACCTAAGTTATTTGTACCGAGGTAATTTTGTACCTAAGATGGTGCTGTGTGTTGGCGACATTATACATGTTTCCCTGTACTTCTGTACCTCAGTACACGTGACAATAAAAATCTAAAATCTTTAAAAAATCTAAATATACCAATTCCTGATTTTTAAAAATAGCACAACTCCAGAAGATGTGAAAATGCTGATTTCCGTCATAACTAACCATCAACCTGAGAAAATCACTTGTCCAAGGAATGAGTGGACTTGGGCAAGGTTGTTGAGGTTGGCTGGCTCGCCGAACTGGTTTCTTGTTTAGCAGACGTTTCATTACCATGCTTGGTAACATCCGAAGCGTCGGTGTGTTTTCCCGCCTGGTTTTTAAACTCTGGGGTCCGTTGAGCTGGATTGCCTCGCTTCCGGTTTTCCTTCGTAGTGGAATGTAAATGGGGTCGAGTTCAATGTGTTTATTAATAGCATGCTTCGTGGAGTGCCATGCTTCTAGGAACTTTCGTGCTTGTCTCTGCCTAGCCTGTCCCAGGATCTTGGTGTTGTCCCAGTCGAATTGGTGGCTCTCCTTGTCCATGTGGATTGAGATGAGTGAGTATTGGTCACGTCTTTTTGTAGCCAGTTGGTGTTCATGTACTTTTGTTGTAAGTTTCCTTCCTGTTTGTGCAATGTAATGTTTCTCGCAGTCTCTGCGGGGGATCTTGTAGATGACATTGGGCCTGTCCGTGGTAGGGAGTGGGTCGTTAGTTCGGGTGAGCGGTTGTCGTAGGGTTGACGTGGGCTTGTGTGCATTCCGTGTTGCTAAAGAAAAAAGGGCAACAACACACTGCAGCAACACGGAGCAACGCCAAGAGGAAGAGGAATTCCTCTTCCAGGTTTTCAAGGATAATGGATATCCAAAGAATTGGGTCAGAAGATGCCTACCCGAACTGCATCAGAAAGAGAGTACACGCCCCAACACACTCATCACACTACCCTGTATCAGAAACATGTCAGAACTCAGCACAAGACTCCTATGACCGCTGGGCATCAGAGTGGCACACAAGCCCACGTCAACCCTACGACAACCGCTCACCCGAACTAAGGACCCACTCCCTACCATGGACAGGCCCAATGTCATCTACAAGATCCCCCGCAGAGACTGCAAGAAACACTACATCGCACAAACAGGAAGGAAACTTACAACAAAAGTACATGAACACCAACTGGCTACAAAAAGACGTGACCAATACTCACTCATCTCAATCCGCATGGACAAGGAGAGCCACCAATTCGACTGGGACAACACCAAGATCCTGGGACAGGCTAGGCAGAGACAAGCACGAAAATTCCTAGAAGCATGGCACTCCACAAAGCATGCTATTAATAAACACATTGAACTCAACCCCATGTACGTTCCACTACGAAGGAAAACCGGAAGCGAGGCAATCCAGCTCAACGGACCCCAGAGTTTAAAAACCATGCGGGAAAACACAGCGACGCTTCATCGGAGGCTGCACTGAGGATGTTACCCAGCATGGTAACGAAACGTCTGCAAAACAAGAAACCAACTCAGCAAGCCAACCAACCTCAACACCCACAACCGAACTACAAATCTACTCCAAAACCTCAGAGACTTGGGCAAGCTCATCCATGAACTATTTGAATGCTTTAAGAACTTTAACTGATCCCTGGACAGTGCAGGACTGAACAAAGAGGGATTATTGAATCTGGGGACTCAGTAGTTAACAGCTACTGAATTAGCAGTGCACTTACCATGTACTTTTCAATATCTTTGTCTGTACCGACTTCTGCATCTACAGTAACACAGTCTGTCTGCAACAAGAAACAAATCACTTAGGTTCCAGTTTTGAGCAGATTTATAAATCAGCTGTAGAACATTTAGGTAGAAGCTAAGTTTTATTTATGTATTTTTCAGTCTTAGACAAAAGGTGGGGTATCACTAGCAACTTTGAACTGAGTGGCTTATTCATCCATTTCAGAGGGTAGTGAAGAGTCAATCACTTTGCTGTGGGTCTGGAGTCATGTAGTCCAGACCAATTAAGGATGGCAGCTTTCCTTCCCTAATGAACATAAGTGAACCACATTGCCTTTTATGACAATTGATAGTTAGACAGTTGCCATTGGGGTAACTTTTTAAAAAAAAAAGTCCAGATTTTATGGAATTCAAATTTCACCATCTGTCCTTGTAGGAGTTGAACCCATGTCCCACAGCATTAGCCTTGGGCTCTGGATCACCACTTCAGTCAAAGAAATCAAATAATTTATGTACATTAAAAAAAAAGCTTAAATGATACCTCAAACCGTATTTGTTAAAAACCTGCTGGAGAACTCGGGATCCAGATTGTGAAGGAGGAAAGCAAAGCAAAGAGGTATACAGCTTAGCGACCAAAGATGGAGTGATTAAAATTGCAGAGGCCAGAAGTCGAAGAGTGCAGAATTATCAGAGGGGCTGTAGGGCTGGATGTGATTACAAAGATAGGAGGGACAAAGCCTTGAAGAGATTTGAAAATTTTAACATCAAATTGCTGCTTGACCAGGAGCCAATGTCACTGAAATGAATACAAAAGGAATAGAAGAATGGGACTTGATGCAAGTTAAGAAATGGGCAACAGAAGTTTGGATAATCGAGTTCACAACGGGTAGAATGTGGAAGACTAGTCAGGAGTATATTGGAATGGTCAAGCCTATGGGTAATGAAGTCACGAAGGAGACTTACAGTAACAATGTACTGAAACGGGGTGATGTTTGAGGTGGAAACAGAAAGTCTTAGCGAATGCTAAAATGTGAGATTGGAAGATCACCTTGGGCACAGTTATAACTAGTTTAATATAAGATTGTTTCCATGGAAAGGGCTAGAGTTAGAAGCCAGGCAATGGAAATTGGAGCGGGTATCAGTCTTCCCGATTTTTAACTGGAGGAGATTTCTGTTTATCCAGTTCTGGATGTTAGTTAAACAGTCTGATGATCTTTCCACTGTTTCTAAATTATGAGACACTGGTGGTGAGACAGAGCTGTGTGTCATCATGTGAAAACTAATGATGTCAATGAAGCCTAGTGCGTAGATGGGAAGGAGGAGCAGAGAAAGGATAGATCCTCCAGGGACACCAGAGGTAAAGGCATGGGAGCAACAGGAGAAGGTGATTCTCTGGTTACAATTACACACCAACAGCCCCAGCAATAACAGTGCCCCCTAGTGGCACACCAGTGGGGACAGGTTAGAGGAAGTTGGTACAAGCACCCTCGTCAAAAGGTGCTGACAGGTTGAGAAGGAAGAGCAGCAAAAGTTTACCTTCTTCACAGTCTCTGCAGATGGCATTTGTGGCTTTGGTAAGAGCTGTCTCAATACTGAGGGATTCACATTCAACAAAGGGCACCTCTGACTGTGCAGCACTCCCTCACAATTGCAACAGGAGTGTCAGCCTAGACTTGGTTTCCAAAGCAAGAGAGTGAGACTTGAACCCATAATATTCTGACTCATAATGATAAATATGACACGTCTATTACCCGTATATATTCTGGCTTAGACTTACCTGCACTGCAGAATCTGTGAAAGACCTCAATGTTGGGACTTGCTTCAAGCTGTTGTGCTCTGTATCCAGGTCTTCACTTGGTTCCTCTTTATACAGCGTTTTTAGCATAATCTCTTCACTAGTTGGTACTGTCTCCCCAGTACTCCATTTCTCTCTATTTTCCCCATAACCAGCAGTTGGCTCTGTACACTGTAATGATTCATGAAGAAGAACTTTTTGGTACTGTCCCTCAGGTGTATCAGTCAGCCAGCACTCTTCAATATAGCTTGGCACATAAGGATGTAAGGTGTCTCTATAATCAATATAGGGTACTGAATGCTGAACTCCATCAATCACTCTGCTTACTGTAGGGGCACCCATTACATCTGGGAAATAATCGACAACTTCCTCCTCGTCTCTGTTTTCTGGGTCTGACTGATAGATATCATCATAGTCCTGAGCGAGTAATCCAGGACACTGTGAAGTGGTCGCAGGAGTGGAGTGTTGATCAGACAAAGGCAGGTTCGAATCACTTTGGGGTGGGAGGGGAGGCGGGTGGCAAAGGAGAGACAAAAATATATGCATAATTTGTAACTCATACGTTCTAATCTCTTAAATATTGTTTAAAGTGTCAGTATCAATTAAAGTGGAACATTGATCTACAGTTCAAAAGGAAACAAGCACTTCCCTCCCATGATGAGTCAGTAAAATAACTTGAACGTAGACAGTACACTTATTTTCACTTCTGACCAAGGGTCCCCACTTTCAGCAAGGCAATAAAATTAACAAAATTTACTTGCTTCACGGTAGACTCTGTGTTATCCAGCAGCCGCTGGGATCATCAGTTCCAGGAAATCAAACATGCTGATTAACACATTTTAGTAAGGGGTAAGGGTTAGGAGTCACCTGCTTTATGTATACTGCACTTAGAGCGATCGAAATCTTTCTCTGTAAGCATGGAGGGAAAAGCACTTCTACCTTGATCCAGGTCCTTCAAAAAAACTTCACACTGACAATAATCGGTATTTCATATCTTAACCGTAGTGCCAGGTTTGGGTGAGGAGGTATTGGAGATGGTGGACTCCCAGAAAACAGGGAATTTTCTGGTCTGTGTGTGGAACAAGAATCTCGGATTGAACCCCTGCCAACTTCAAGACCTGCTGGCCCTACCCAGTCTGGTCTGCATGTGAATCCAGACGCACAGCAAGGTGGGTGATTCTTAACTAGCCATTGAGATAGTTTAGGTAGCCATGTGGTTCAAAGGCAGTTAGGGATGGGCATTAAGTGCTGGCCTTGCTAACGATGCCCACATCTCACAGAAAGACCTAGGGGGTTCAGGCACATAATTCTTTGAAGTATGCATCACAGGTAGACAGGATGGTTAAGAAAGCGTTTAGTACGCTTGCCTTCAATGCTCAGTCCTTTGAGTATAGGAATTGGGACATCATGTTGAGGTTGTACAGGACATTGGTGAGGCATCTTCTGGAATACTATGTCCAGTTCTCGTCATCCTGTTACACAAAGGATATTATTAAGCTGGAGAGGGTTCAGAAGAGATTTACCAGGATGTTGCTGGGATTGTAGGGTTTGAATTATAATGAGAGGCTGGATAGGCTGGGACTTTTTTTTGCTGGAGTGTAGGAGGCTCAGACGTGATCTTGTAGAGGTTTATAAAATCATGAGGGGTATAGATCAAGTGAACAGCAGGTGTCTTTTCTCTAGGGTGGGGCACTCCAAGACTAGAGGGCAACTTCTTTTCACATAGGGTGGATCATGTGTAGAATGAACTGCCAGAGGAAGTGAGAGATGCGAGTACAATTACAAAGCGAATGCAGTTATGATGTTTAAAAGATGTTTGGATAAGTACATGTATAAGAAATGTTTGGTGGAATATGGGCCAAGCACAGGCAGGTAGAACTAGTTTAGTTTGGGATTATGGTCAGCATGGACTGGTTGGACCGAAGGATCTGTTTCCGTGCTATATGACTCCACGACTCAAGGCAAAGACGCCACAGTCCCAGTGGACTATAGGGATGCTCTCTCATTAGAGAGAGACAACTGGTGGTGAGTTTAAACTGAGGGTCACTTGCCTCAGGCGAGGAGAGAGAGGTTGAGAAGGAAAGCCCATCATGGAGACATCAGTGGGTGTGGGAACTGAACCCATACTACTGTCATCACCAAGCAGCTGTCCAGTCAACTGAGCTATCTGACCTCCACACATCCTAAGAAATAATAAAAGGGGGAAAAAAAAAGTAACTGTTGGATTGTTGTAAAAACTCATCTGGTTTGCGAAACGTCCTTTAGGGAAGAAACCTGTCAAACATACCTAATTAGATCTCTATGTTTTGGGTGTGCAGTCACATTGCAGGATCAACTCCCCTTTGAAAAGGCCTCACAACCTACTCTGTTGTGTTGTCTACAAATAGCTAGAACACACTATTTCATGAAGCCCACTCAGTATGTGAGTCAACAAGGTGCAGGGCTGGATGAACACAGCAGGCCAAGCAGCATCATAGGAGCAGAAAGGTTGACGTTTCGGGCCTAGACCCTTCATCAGAAAATTTTCTGATGCAGTTTTCTGATGAAGGGTCTAGGCCCGAAATGTTTTCTGATGAAGGGTCTAGGCACGAAACGTCAGCCTTTCTGCTCCTATGATGCTGCTTGGCCTGCTGTGTTCATCCAGCTCTACACCTTGTTGTCTCGGATTCTCCAGCATCTGCAGTTCCTACTATCTCAGTATGTGAGTGATTGGGCAGGGCAACATATGCTGGTTTTCTAGTGGTATCCACACTCGCTTAATGAAACAAGATTAGAAAGGGGCAAAGTATAAATATGAGCAATCTTCACTGCTACCCTGATCTACATATAGGAAAACGCTAATGGATTACCTTATAGCAGGACCTGTAAGTTCTGTATCACGCTCCACCATTGTAACTTGCCCAGTAATCTCTGACAACGAGTCAGCACATGTGGTCTCTGGGAATGGGTTGGCAGATGTTATCTTGGAATTTTCCTCTAAATCCATGACTTCCACAGGCCCTATATGTTGACAACAGAATGAGATTTTGTTTTAAAATGCAGGCTGCAGAAACTTCACAAATTTTAAGTCACCGTCCCTTGAAAACGACACGTTTTATTGACGTTCCTCCACATCTCTTGGACTTTGTTTGTGTAGAAAAATCAGCCAGCTATGACTTCGCTGCTAAGCCGCACACTATCCTGAATTGCAACTTTAAGTGCCATTTCTTCACTGTCATGGGGTCAAATTGTGCCAGCTACCTAAGAGCACTACAAATGTCCATAGAACTCATGGACTGCTGCCATTCAAACATATAGATCAACACCCCCTTTGAAAGGGCAATGCAGCAACAAATAGTGGCCTTGTCAGTGACATTCACTTCGCAAGAGTGGATACTAAAATATAACTCCAGCCATTCAGACCAAAGAACAAACCCTGCAGTTATTCGTGAAGGTGTTGGTTAAAGAATATTTAACAGTAGGATTCTCTTCTCTCTTCATTATTGCGCAGTGGGAAGGACAAAGTGTCTATTGTCCACTTGATAGTAACTCCAAAACCACTTGCTCTAGATGATAAAATGGTACAAGCACAGAATAAAGCCATTCTATTGCCTTTCGACAGACACTGTAGAATCTTCATCCACTATCTTTTTTGGTACAGCATTCGAGATCAGGATCAGCAGCTCACCGACTGCAAACAAGATTCCTTGTGCCATCTCAGGTTCTGCTGCCAATCATCTTAAATCCATGCCCCCTGGTTACTGATCCTTCTGCCACTAGTACCACTTTCTCCTTACTTAACCCCGTCATAATTTTTGAACATCTCTGGTTACACCTTTCATCGATAGATAGCTGTTGCAACTTTAAATTAATTGGTCTCAATCACGACTCAAATCTCATCACAATCTTAATGATGTTTCAATGTTAAACACACTTTGGCAATGTCATTAAAAACTGGTGAAAGGAAAAAAACAAAAGAACTCAGGACAATAGAAACAGGAGATAGCTACACGGCCCCTCTCACCTGCTCCTGCCCTCAGTAAGGTCATGGCTTCGTACAATAAACATAATCTACATTTCTGTGCCATCTGTGATTCTTGGATACCAAGAGAATTTCAAATCTAACGTTGATCTTGCTTTTTGCACACTTTCTTTGCAGCTGTAACTTTGTATTCCTCGCTCTGTTCTATCATCCTATGTTCTTTATATGGTATGGTCTGCCTGTACTGCATTCAAAAACAAAACTTTTCACTGTACCGTGGTACATGTGACTATAATAAATCAAACCCAATCAAAATCTTGCTCAGCTCCCTTCGATGTACTCCACAGCCGAGAGTCTGCTAGCTACGTTCCCTTCAATTATTTTATTCTGTCGCGTGGAGCTCTGAGGTCTGTGCACGACAGTGGTTTCTAGAACTGAATGTCACACCAAACGTTGTGGGTGGGACCTCCGAGTAGCTTACAGGGCACGTTGTCCTGTTAGTGTGAAATTCCTAACACTCCCAACTCTGAATGAAGGAAGAGATCCCTCCTCACCTCAGTCCAGAAAGAAACTTTCTCAAACTATCACCTTAAAAAAAAAGTCTCAGCTGACAGTCCAGCACCGAGGGGGTGCTACACTTTCAGCAGTTCCATCATTCAACTGAGGCCCCATCCTGTCCCATGGTGAACATAAAAGATCCCATTGCACATAAGAGGTATTTTCCCCAGCTGCTGTGGCCAATATTTATCCCTGAACAAACATTATAATAATAGATTATCTGGTCATTTTCACAATGTGGGAGCTTGCTGTGTATAAATTGGTTGCTACATTTCCGACAGTACATAGCGATTGTAGCTGCCATAGTCTCAGAGAATCATAGGGCTGCTCTGTCATTAGAAAGAGATGACTGGAGGTGGTTGAACCTCAGGGTCACTGTGCCTCATGTGAGGGGAGGGGATGAGAAATGTAGGTCCTACTTGGTAACCTCAGCCAGTGTGGGAATTGAACCCATGCTGTTAGCGGTGCAAACCGGCCGTCCAGCCAACTGAGCTAATTAACTCCCTCAGCCTCTTACAGTACAACGGAAAGTACACTTCAAAAGTATTTCATTGGCTGCACAGAGCTTTGGGACAAACCAAAGGTCAGGAAAGATGCTACATAAATGCACATTCCTCACAAAACCTTAATTACTACACGTTTCCTTCCAGGGCTGGAGAACAGAAACAAAATTTCAAATAAAACACGAAGACAGATTTCTGAAACTCATCAACACTCACTTCCTACGTTGAACAAAGCCCCAGTGTTACTAACACTGAGACTGAAAGAAAGCATAAAAGTTTCAGCACAAACCTTGCACTTAATTTGGGTTTATATATGACTGGAAGAAAAAACTGTGCCTCCTTTCCACAGACTTCACTAATCAAACAGTATATAAAGCACCAGAAACAAAAAATCTCTTTTTAATCATAAACCATTCTCTTTTCAACCTACCAGGGTCTCTGGTCTCCAGGGACGTCAGTGCTATACACACAGAAACACAGAATTACCATGCAGCAACAACAGGACTCATTGGCACAGCAGCAGAGGTTCTACTAAAACTGCCCTGGATTGTGGCCAATAATGAAACGGCTTTAGAGATCTGGTGGGCTGTTCCACAAGAAGGGAAGACCAATAAAACAACTGCAATACTTGGAAATGAATGTACTGAGTTGCACTTTGAGATACACAAGTTAGACCAGCGTGTGTCATTCGCCAGTTTCACTGATTTTATCTTCCGGGCATATTGTGATGCAATTTCCTCCCAGATCCAGTCAGTTTCATGTTGTATGAGCTTCCTGACACACTGGAAAGGGAGAAGGCATTATTGAGCAAAGTCTTAGTCAGTGTGTGAGAGAGGCTGTGTGTGTTTGTGTGTGTGTGAGAGAGAGAGAGAGAGAGAGAGACTGTGTGACAGAAAGAGAGAGAGAATGTGTGTGAGAGAGAGACAATGTGTGAGAGTTTGCATGTGAGACAGTGTGTGTGTGTGTTTGTGACATTACGTGAGACAGAATATGTGTGTGTGCATGAGACAGTGTGTGAGAAAGAGAGTGCATGAGAGGCAGTGTGTGCGTGAGAGTGTGTGCACATGTGAGAGACAGAGAGTGCGCATGTGTGAGAGAGAGATTGCATGCGTGAGATTGTGTGCGAGTGAGAGAGAGAGTGTGTGGGTGCATGAGAGTGTGTGCACATGAGAAAGACAGTGTACATGTGAGAGAGAGCGTGTGTGCCTGTGTGTACACACGTGAGAGAGAGTGTGCGCGTGAGTGAGAGTATGCGTGAGTGACTGTAGGCGCGAGTGTGTGTGTGTGAGAGAGAGACAGAGCATGTGTAAATGTGAGAGAGAAAGAGAGTGTTTGTGAGAGAGAAAGTGTGGGTGTGTATAGAAGAGTCAGAGAACAAGTGTTTGAGAAAAGTGGAGAGTGCGTATGTGAGAGAGTGTGAGAGAGAGAGAAAGTCTGTATACATGAGAGAGGGCAAGTGTGTGTCAGAGACAGAGAACGTGAATGTGCGTGTCTGTATGCGTGTGAGAGAGAAAATGTGTGTGTCTGTGTGT